ATGTCCTCAGCCTGGTTTTGTCTTTTCTGGAATTGTGGTTGCTCTGTGTGGGGCTGGGGGGGGGGTCACAATAGTAACTTTTGTCACTCTTTGGTATCAGATGTCATCAGCATTGATAAGACTGGAGAGAATTTCCGTCTGATCTATGACACCAAGGGTCGTTTTGCTGTTCATCGCATTACACCTGAGGAGGCCAAGGTAATTATTGGCAGCAGACTGGGTCTTCATTCTAGCTTTACTTTGGGGGAGAGGAAGGTGGTGGAGGAGACTGATAGTCCTTGATTATTTAATTCAGTTCGTTATGATAATTTTTTTCCAGTAGTCAGGGCTTCTTAGATTATTGGCCATGAATGAAAGTTAATTGAATGATGCCTTGTTATCTGCAGGATGTCAGAGTGAAAAAAATTGAAATGCTTTGTGGAATATTTGTTGATTAGATGAATTGGTAATGCAGTTGCTGTTTGTGAAGCAAAACTCAGTTGTGGTGTAGAGGGAGCCATTAAGAAAGACATGAGTTTAGGAGAGATCAGGGTGAGTTGGAAAGAATTATTCCCAGGACCCAGAAGACTTGAAGAACTTGAGGAAAAGAGTAGGGTTTATATCAGAGGAGATCAATGGTGTTAGACATTGGACCAACTCTTTTAATTTTTTCTTTTTTAGAATATATGTTTCTATCTTTATTTTATGTGGTGCTAAGGATCAAACCCAGTGCCTCACATGTGTGTGGGGGGGCAGATGCTCTACCGCTGAGCCATAGCCCACTCTTTAATTAATGTCCTTGTTTGGAAAGATGCAGGGCCCTTCAGTGTCTTGGGCTTTTACATGGAGGTGATGGCATTGATAAGAGGAAGATAAATGTTAGGAGCAGTGTGCATCATACTTTCATGAAAGGAAGATAGTAAAGTCAGACCCACAGTTATTCTGCTGTAGGCCCTGTGTAGGATTGGTGGCTTTTGGCTACTAATTGCATTTCCATGACAGTGACTTGGAAAGAACTATTTCATCCCCCCTGGAACATAGTATATGTGAGCTGAACTAAATATGGCTCTTTTGCATTTCTAGTACAAGTTGTGCAAAGTGAGAAAGATATTTGTGGGCACAAAAGGAATCCCTCATCTGGTGACTCATGATGCTCGAACCATTAGATACCCTGATCCCCTAATCAAGGTGAATGATACCATTCAGATTGATTTGGAGACTGGCAAGATTACTGACTTCATCAAGTTTGACACTGGTAAGCATCCTCTGGGCATCTTTGAAGGCTAGGTATAAGAGGTTTTTTTTTTTTTTTTTTTTTCCCCTATTCTAAGTTCAATTGAGCATTTGATTGCTGGGGTTTTTAGCCATCTGCCCCAGGCCCACTTTGAGACAGGTTCTTGTGGTGCTGACAATTCAAGCCCAGTGCCTTACACATGCTAGATGAGCACTGTACTACTGAGCTACAGCCCCAGCCCCTGGCCCCAACAATCCTTCTATCTTGGCCTCCCAGGCTGCTGGGATTACAGCTTATACTACCATGACTCCCATTTTTATAGTATCAGAATATTTGGAGTGGCTGAGGCAAGATCTTTTATAAAAGACCTTCTCAGGCCTGTGCTGGGTGCTTCAAAAAGTCCCCTGTGGGAGGGTTGGGCAGGAAATCTTGACAATAAAGTGAACCACCCTGGTTATGATATAGTCCTGAATTATTAGTAAGAGAACGAGTTTACACAGTGTCTTGCTTGTCCCTAACTAGGTAACCTGTGTATGGTGACCGGAGGTGCTAACTTGGGAAGAATTGGTGTGATTACCAACAGAGAGAGACATCCTGGCTCTTTTGACGTGGTTCATGTGAAAGATGCCAATGGCAACAGCTTTGCCACCCGGCTCTCCAACATTTTTGTTATTGGCAAAGTAAGTCTAGGTTATCCTTCTCTTCCAGCCTCCATGGAAATGTAAATGTAGATATTGCTGGACTAGCAATGCCTGGCTGGGCTCCTTCCTGGCAGGCCTTGGTCAAACCTAGGCTTTTCAGAACCATGAAGGGGAAACTGATCACTTTGAGTAGTGACCTGGTGCCATAATGAAATGAATATAACTTATGTCTTTAAATTTATTTGTAGCTGTTGTCTCCTTGGAAATTAGTGATGAGTTTTAGGTACTGCTTTGACTTAAATATTGTCTACTGTGTGTAATAAGTTTTGAGATATTAATTGTGAAGGGGGGTTATCCATATCTGTATGTGTGGGCAGCATGTTGAACAGATGACTTACCGACCCAAGAAAGCAGTGGGAATTTCTGATAAATTAGCATCTCTGAGTCTTAAGACTGCCTAGCTGATGGCCAGTGCCTTCACCAACAGACTTCAGTTCTAATAAGATGGATGTTTTGATTTTTTTCTCTCTCTCCCAAACCAGGGCAACAAACCATGGATTTCTCTTCCCCGAGGAAAAGGAATCCGACTCACCATTGCTGAAGAGAGAGACAAGAGACTGGCTGCCAAACAGAGCAGTGGGTGAAATAAATGGTCTATAGGTGATATGCCTAGAGAGTAGAGGTCTTTGTACTTAATTAAAGAAAATATAACAGGATGAATTGATTTTTGGCTTTTGTGTTATTTTTTTCATTTGTATGTATGTGTTTTTACAACTAGCTATTTTACTTTATAACATTAAAAATGACTGAATTTTCAGTTTAGGCAGTCTCTGATCTGAAACTTCTTGTGCCTTAAAGACCACCAAATTTAAGGGGGCAGCAAGTAGGTGTGCCAAGAAAGTCGAGAACCTTATGTAACTAATGGGCTCTATAAAGTCCATCAACAACAAAATTTTTTTAAAAGGCTGATGGGACTGGGGCAGGGTATAGTTCAGTTAGTAGATGGTAGAATGCTTGCCTTGCATGCACAAGACCCTGGGTTCTAATCCCCAGCACCACAAAAAAGGGATTGGGGTGGCTTAGGAGTGCTTTATCTTTGGACTATATCCCTAGTGCTAAGGTTGGCCTCAAACTTTTTTGAGTGTGTACTGGAGATTGAACCCAGTGTTGCTTAACCACTGAAGAGCCACTTCCCCTATAGATGTATCTTGCCATCTCAACACCTTGAGCGTTTGCAGACTAAAGCTTACTAAATCCCACCATGGCTGATTTAAGGGAAGGGATTTCTCTGTGTGTTGGTTCTGGGGCTCAAACCCAGGGTTTCATGTATACCATGGATGCACATCCCAGCCCTGGAATACTATCTTAGACATTGTTGTCATCTGAGGCATAAGATATAAACTAACTTTGCATCTTTAACAATTACACAGAACAATGAGTTTCAATGTGATATATTCATGCATGCACATAATTTGACTTAGCTGTGTTTTGGTTCCCAGGCCTATGGTCCAGCAACAGATGGGAGGCCTGAAGCACTGTAGCTTGAAACAGTGTACCCCCTGAACACCTCTGGGCTATGAGCTGGCTTTAAGAGTCAGGATCCCCATCATACATTTTGTGGGGGGAATCCACTGGGAATGGAACCTAGGACCTTGCACTTGTAGCTAGGCAAGCACTCTATCACCCAGCCAAATACTTAGTTTTGCCAGAAAACAGCAATAAAAGCAGCTAAAGGAGGTGCCACCAGTCTCAAAAGTCCAGATTTGGCCCCCCTAAGACTTCTCTGCCTTCCCCATTGCAGATTTCAAAGCAGAGTTGGCTGGAGCCCCAGGACCTCTGCATAAAGAAGGAGGAATTTGCAGGAACAGTACAGCCAAATGGTGGATAATAGGGCCCCAAAGGAAGGCTTGTCACATAGGTGTTGCTTAAGCTTGGTTCTCTTGCTTATAGAGCTCATCACTTATAATCTTTGCCCTTGAGAAACCAATCAGGTTGAGAACTAGAAAGCCAGAGGGTAACACTCCATCCAGTAACTGGGTACTTGGTCCCCAAATGCTGGTGGGCTTTTGCTGCTACCCTCTCAACCAACCTTGGCAGCACTTTGCTTCTTGCTAGTTTACCATCAGCTCAGCAGATGATAGAATTTTGGCTAAGAAGCCAAAGTGCATGATAGCACACACCTGTAATCCCAGCAACTCAGGAGGCTGAGAGAGAGAGATGGGGATTGCAAGTTCAAGGCTCTAAGCAACTTAGATTCTGTCTCAAAAAGGCTGAGGATGTAGCTTGAGGGGAAAAAAAAAGCAAATGTAGAAAAATGAGAAGCCACAAAATTGATTCTTGATAACCAGGTATGGTGGTACTCATCTGTAATCCCAGCAATTTGGGAGGCTGAGACAGGAGGATGGCAACTCTGAGGCCAGCCTTTTCTTCAATTTAGCAAGACCCTGACTCAAAAAAAATTGAAAAAAGGTCAGTGGTAAAGCTCTCTGAGTTCAATTTTTTTTTTAAAAGTAATGAAAAAAATTTGATTCTAGGCACAAATGCAGTAATTTTCTGAATGTTAATTAGTGGACATCTCACACAAAATGGAGAATTGGTGTTTGACTGCAATCCACATCACCAGGAGACTTCTTTTAAATGACATTTTAAATGTTTGGGGTTTTTTTTATTTGTTAAACCAGGACAAGAATTTTTTATTAATTAGCAACTAGCCCCAATGTGGGAATGATTTCCATTCTAATACTAGGTTGTATTAATGGATTTAGGTAATGGGTCTGTATCATTAGAATAAACTACAGGCTTCCAAACAAAATGGCTTGTTTCTGTCTTTCGATTCAATTCATAAAATCTGAGACCTGGAGGGAACCTTGAAGATCATCTCAGCAGGGAGGCAAACAAATGGTTCTGAGATGAAACAGACTGAAGCAAGCAGAACTTTATGAGGTTTGGTTTATGTCCTGTACCTCCAGTAGGCTGGGCCTCACACTCACACCCCAGTGAGAGAGCAGTATGGCAGCACAGCATTGAGTAAGAATAAGAACAATACAAACATTTGGACTTATGTAGTATTTTACAGTTTACAGAACTATTTTGATTTTTTTTTACTTTTTTTCTTTTGTTGCTGCAAATTGAACCCAGGGCCTTGCGCATGCTAGGAAMATATTATATCATTGGGCTAGTCCCCCATTTTGACTTTTTGAGGCCTGATATCCTGTTTGCTAGATCAACTACAGAAAGCTATATTCACTCCTGTCCCCTGTCCCATGTTGATCAGTCTACCCATAGTCTTCCCTGACAAATCCACTTTACCAGTCGTTTCTCAGGTCAAAAGCTTTGGATACAACCTTGATTCATTTTCTTTTCTTAGACTCCACATATAATTTTATGAGAAAATTCTGGCAGCTCTGCCTGCAAAATATATCCAGAGTCCATATTTGTTTATTTAAAAATAATTATTCATTTTAGTGAGAAAAATCATATTATGGCTATATATTTTTAAAGAATCCTTTAAGAGGTACATTCTGAAGGATTTGCAGAAGAAATAGCAAGCTATCATTTGTTTTCAAGTAATCTCTTGAGGGGCTGAGGATATAGCTCAGTGGTAGAATATTTTCCTAGCATGTGTAAGGCCCTAGCCTGCCAAAAAAAATAATAAATATATATATATATAAAATCTAGTAGATGAGGAAGTGGGTGTGGGTATAGATAAAATAAGACTAGCCATGTACTGATAATATCAAAAGTGGGTGAAGGGTGCAGGGGGATTATAGTACTCTGTACCTCTGCATGTTTGAAGTTTTTCATAATAAATTTACAAAATAACATCTAAATAGCATGGTGTCTGCCATTCTTCCAAATAGTATTGTACAACGTCTTACTTTCTTTGATACCATCCTGGCCTTACCAACAATTCTTTTTCTTCTTAATTGACAAATTAAAATTGCATGTACTTATGGCATACAACATGTTTTCATATAGGTATGCATTGTGGAATGGCTAAGAACCAACAACAACTCTTGCCTACATTCTAGACTACACATGGCACAAGCCTATAACTGTCTCCTGGCTTCCATTTCATAACCCCCTTTGGTTTCAACCCAGCAGCCAGAGATCCTGCTTAAAGTGTGTAAGTCAGGTTAGATCACAATCTCTCAGCCCACAAATGGCTCCCATCTTTTTCACTCAGATCAAAAGTCATGAGGACCCATGAGACCTTCACAATCTAGTCTCTGGCCTCAACTCCTTCCACACGTCCTGGCTCAATCTGTTCCAGCCACACTGGCCTCCTTGCTGTTTCTTTTTTGAGACAGAAGTATTGCTATGTTGCCCAAGCTGGTCTAGAATTCCTTGGGTCAAATGACCCTTCTGACTCAGGTTCCAGAATAACTGGGAATACAGACACATTTTACTGCACCTTGCTAGGGATTTTTTTTTTTTTTTTAGAGCAAATAGCTCTAATGTAGGGAAGATTTCTATTCTAATAACAGGTTGTATTAATGGACTTAGGCAATGAGGCCTGTATCATTAGAATAAACTACACATTTCCAACAAAATGGCTTGTATACCCCCTATCAAAAAAGAAACATCAAGAAGGCTAGTATGGCTGGAATCCATTGTAAATTGAAAAGATCACAAATTGAATATGCATTTTAATATGCCTAACCTACTGAACATCATAGCTTAGCAATGCAGCACACTGTAAAGTCTCAGGTGTTTTCCCCTTGTGAACATGTACACGGCTGACTGAGAGCTGTGGCTCACTGCCACTGTCCAGCATCCTACCACATATTGCCAGCCTAGGAAAAGAGCACAACTCAAAATTCAAAGTACAGTTGGGTTTTTATTTTTTTTTTGGTTTTGGCTTTGGGGTTTTTTGTTGTTGTTGTTGTTTGGTTGGTTGGTTGGTTGGTTTTTGGTGTTGGGCATAGAACTCAAAAGTCTCTTGCAATGTTAAACAGGCAGTCTGCCACTGAGCTACACCCAGTCCCAAACTATGGCTTCTACTGAATGCATACTGCTTTCGCAGCATCATAAAGTTGAAAAATCATAAACCAAACCATTATAAGTTGAAACTGTCTATACTTACACACACACACACACACACACACCCCACACACATACTTATTTCTAAACCTTTTAAAAGTAAATTACATCTGGGTGAATGACAAACTCTGGTAATCCCAGCTCCTCAGAAGGCTGAGGCAGGAGGATCACAAGTTCAAGACAAGCCTGGAAAATTTAGCACAACCCTCTCTCAAAGTGAAAAATAGAAAGTGTTGCAAATGTGGCTCCGTGGTAGAGTACAAATGGATTCAATGTACTAAAAAACAAAGTTGCAGACATCATGACATTGAGTTGGGTTCCTGGTGCCAGGAGACAAATGCTGGGGCTCAAGAACTCTACTCTACCCAAGGAGTCAATTTCCATGTTACCTTGGGTATAAACTAGATATCCAAGAGAGATGCTACCTTCTCAGGTAGGAATTTCCCATCCTGAATCAGAAATCCCTTCATCTGCCTCAGGTTGTTAAGCCTTGAAAACTCCCCAAACATGAAGATTAATCCTAAAACCTAAAAGGAGTAACAAAAAATGAAAAGATTTGGTTTGCACAGGAAGGAGTTTGTGGGTAAAGTTTCTCTACCATTTTGACTTCTGAGAATGTTGTAGTCCTCACAATAAACAAAAATAATAAAGAATATTCCCAAGAGCCAGGCACAGAG